AAAGCAGACTTTGTGCTGTTGAGGCTAGAGAGGTGAGCAGAGTAAGTCTGATTCCCCGTTTGGACTTCTTTGTTGACATCCACCTCTTGGCGCTCGTATGCTCTTTTATGCAGTTCCGAGCGCCGTAAAACTTTACTAAAACATTTTTAAAAAACGTGTATTTTCGTGATCCTCTCCCCACTACAATCTTGTCTCCGTTTACTACTAACTCGGGGTACCTTCTGTGTCCCAAGACTTTGTTCATTTCCTTTGTCAAAAGTCTAAATGAAAAATACGAGTTGAATAATGATTATTGAGTCGTCATTTGCTGGTGCCCGTGTGTATCTAGGCAACTCTATCTCTTTTCACGTGGGCCTGGTTATATCGAGTTTCTTTGTACGTGGGTCTTGGTATATAAAGGTATTATTTATAATTCATATTATCTTTCCTATTTCGTTTATTATTTTCATAATATACAGTATGAAAATATTCTGTGATTATAATACACTGATGCCCGTTACTAAAGAATGGGATGCGAAAAGTACAATTGATACACATGTAAATTAAACAACAGGCATTATGCCCTCGCTCCAATTGACTCGCTTGGGGCAAATACTGAACAGGGGACACAATGCAGTCTTTTACTTTACCCGAGTGGATATACTTGAACTACCTCCCTTGCATTTCCAACCATCTTTTTAAATCTTGGTATCGTCTTTTCCCTCATTACATATTTTTGCAAGCAAATTTTTTTTTCATTAACCTTCTTTTCATTCTCTTTATGTACTCTACTTCTTGTGTTTTGATTTTTTTTTAAACCAGCTTCCAAACCATGGTAATACATGTATATGAAATAATATTTTACAGACATAACTAACATTTCAATTGAAATTGGTTGACTTGTCCACCCACCAGCACTCCTCATCTAGAGCTAAGTAAAACTTGCCTTTTCCTAAGCATTCTCTCTCCCGCCCCTCCCCCTTTCTGTCTCTGTCTCTCTGTCTCTGTCTCTCTCTTTCTCTCTCTCTCTCTCTCTCTCTCTCTCTCTGTCTTTC